AATCCAAAATTGCACTAAAGCCAGAATTAGGTTATTTCTTTTCTTATTCAGGTCATGTATGGTCCTTTTGATCCCATCCTAAGCGACAAAGACCAATTTCCATCAGTTTATCAGATGGACACCAAGGACAGCTCCCTGGCTCATGGAATCATCTGGTTTTTGCTGCATTTTGACTGGACGTAGGTAGCGCTCTATGTATCTGATGATATGCAAGGGGAGCAGTTCCTCCAGGATGTAAAGGCAAAGATGATAGAAAAGGAGATCTGTGTGGCCTTCACAGAAAAGATCCCTCCCACAAAAGGTGTCTTTTTTGCATGTGACTTAACTCTTAGGACGAGGATCAGAATTTCATCTGAAAATGTGTATATAGTACATGGTGATGAAGGGAGTGTCTGGAAGCTGGGATGGATAAACAAATTCTATTTAATTTTAGGAAAGGTATGGATAATGAGAAATCTCTACTCTCAAGAGCGGAAACGTATTTTTACTAATTTTAAGAAGATGCCATACTTTTTCCATGGAAGCCAGTTATTTTCAAACCAGAAAAGGAAAATTCCTGACTTTAAACAATTTCTGAAGACAGTGAACCCTCCCCAATACCCAGAAGATTTTTACTTCAGTAAACTGCAGTAAAACTCTGGGCTCAGTTTTTTCGATGTTCACTTGCTGGATCATTCTGCAGCAAAATTGGAAAGTGCCCACCAAATTCTTCCCTAGAGTTTCTACAGTATGATTTGGACATGTTGACCATGTCTACTCCAGCTTTTTCATCTATCATGCAGTGCATGTGGTGGCTCAAGTTCTTTATAAGATGCTTTTGCAGAAAATAGAAATGAGATATCCAGGAGATGCAGGCCAACCTATTCTTCCCTGGCAGGCAAACACTATTTGCAAGCATCAAAAGTATTTGGAGGTATTTCTTCTTTCCCTCCCCCCCAGTTCTCTATTATAGGACACATGTACTCATCAGAGTGAAAGGGTCCCCAGTGGGTATGACCACACTCCAATCCCTTCTTCTCCATTCTCCTCCTGTGGTTTTCAGAACCCATGTATATAGGTTTGTGTGCTTTTTAATCTTCCAGGTCTGTTAGAAACACCATGGTCAGCCATGAGGGAGTCCACCTTCACCACCACACCACCCACGGAGGTTTTTTTAAGAATTATTTTATTTAACTTTATTTATTCACTTGTTGATGAGAGAGAGAGAGAGAGAGAGAGAGAGAGAGAGAGAGAGAGAGAGAGAGAGAGAGAGAGAGAGAGAGAGAGAAAATGAGAAATCAAGCCACCAGGTTCAGGACTCGAACTGTGTTTGGCCATGTGGTAGTCCAGTGCTTCTAACCACCATGCTACATGCTGACCCTGCCATGGAGGTTTTTTTAAAAGAGAGATTTTTGCTATAGGGCATGTGCACTCACCAGAGAAATAGAGAGATAGAAAGTGATAAATCACCCCAGAAGAGATCGTCATGCCACAATCTCTTCTCCTGCATTCTTCTTTTGGGATGTTGGACATGCACACACACTCACACACCTGCGAGGCATGAGTTTTAAGCCTCCAGGTTCGGAAGGCAAACGCTGGTTGTTGACTAAACAAAAGTCAAGCAACGTACTCATCCACTTGTCCCTAAACCCTGGTGGTTTTATTTTTTTTTAATTTTTTAATTTTTTTTTTTTGGAGAGATTTTTCACTGTAGGGCGCATGCGCTTGCCAGACAGACAGAGAGAGACATAGAGACAGAAAGCGAGAAATCACCCCCCAGAGGGGATGGTCACGCCGCAATCCCTTCTCCTCCATTCTCCTCTCGGTATCTTGGGCACGCACGCACACACGCCCGGCGTGAGTTTTAAGCCACCGGGTCCGGGACGTGAACCACGGTCGACTACGTGGGAGTCCAGCGACATAGCCATTACGCTAACTGCTGGTTCCCAACCCTGGTGGTTTTATTTTGTTCCTTTTTAAAAAAAATTTTTTTATAGCTTTTCCCATAGGGCATGGGCGCTCACCAGAGAAGAGAGAAAAAAGAAAAAGTGAGAATTCATCTTCTAGGGGGGATGATCCTACTACAATTCCTTCTCCTCTATTCTCCTCTTGGGAGGTTGGGTATGCACACATATGTGTCCAGCATGATTTTCAGGCCACCAGGTCCAGGACTCAAATTATGATGCTGATGATGTGGAAACCAAACCATCCTATCCACCATACCATATGCTGAGGTTTTTTGTTTGTTTGTTTGTTTTGAGAGTGATTTTTGCTATTAAGTGCATGGGCTCGTCAGAGACAGAAAGTGAGAAATTTCATCTCAGGGGGTCTGGTTATGTTGCAATTCCTTCTTTTTTCATTTTCCTCTTAGAATCCTAAGCAGGCATGCAGATGTGCCCATTGCGAGGTTTAAGCAACCCCTCCAGGATTTGAGCCATGATTGAATAGGTGGGAGTTCAGTGATGTAACCATTATGTCATTTGCTGGTCCTTGTTAATGTATTTAAAAACACACACAAACACACACAACATGACTATGTTTTCTTCTCAAAATCAAGAAGATTAGGCAAAATTTGTAGAAAAAGTTTTTAGTTTTGTTGTTTTTATGCAAAGGTATATGAGTTATTTCTACTTAGAGAGTTCTGCCACTACAAAATTAGATATTAAATTATTTGGGGTGGCTGCATGGCTTGGTGGTTGAAGTAGCCAGATTTCACATGGCCAACCTTGCAGCTCGAGTTTTGGATCCAGAAATTAAGAAACACACCAAGAATGTGTGTTTTACTAAACACATATTTGTCACTGGAGGAGAAAGGATTGCTGCACAACCATTCTCCATGAAAGTTGCTTGCTTTCTCTGTCTCTAGAGAGAACATGTACCTTCTAGTAAAAATACAGTGAAATACTAAAAAATGTTCAAGAAAAGGTACTTGACAAAACATAGATCAAAATTGGTCAAATCTATGTGATGTGTTTGTGTGTGTCTGTGTGTGTGTCTGTGTGTGTTTAAATGTTTAAGGAGGTTTTTCCTATAGGGCAAATGCACTCACCAGAAAGGCAGAGACAGAGAGACAGAAAGCAAGAAATCACCCCCCAGGGAGGATGGCCATGCTGCAATCCCTTCTCCATTCTCCTCTTGGGATCTTGGGCATGCACACACACACACCCGGTGTGAGTTTAAGCCCCAGGTCTGGGACTCGAACTGCAGTCAACTACATAGGAGTTCAGCAACATAGCTATTTCATCTACTGTTCCCAAATCTACATGTGTATTTTAGAAATGCATCCAACATCAGAGAATATTGACATAATGACCATATCTATTTCATCTCTAATGATACAGATGTTGTGGCCTAATCTCTTCATGCAATGCTCATGATGAGAAAAATAAATTCTATATAATATTTTAACATGACTTATAGAAAGAAATTTCTTTTAGACTGAACTGTATTTTTACTGTCTACAATAATCCTGGAGGTAGGAATAGTGATCCAATTTTAAACATGAAACCACTTTTGAGACATATACTCTTAGGGTAACCTGCTTAGTTTGAAGTTGACTTTTTGAAATGTAAGTCATTTTGTCAAGATGGTTGTGTAGATGTGGAAAATACTGGCATATTCCTATTCTAATAATTAAAAGACTGAAAGAACATTTGAATAAACAATAATAGCTAATTATTTTCTTCAAAATAATATAATCAATGCAATAGATAGGAGGCTAACATGGTTTATTAAAAATCTCTTGAGTTTGACCAACAATTGCTGTGTTGATTAAGTCACTAAACACTCACATCACCAATCATGGCTCTAATCCTGGGCCTGGCAGTTTTGCTTTCTCACTTTCTCTCTCTCCCCCCTGTTTTTCTTTCATGAGTATACAAGCCCTATAACAAATTAAAAATAATGATAATAGGTCAAATTAAATAAATAATTCTTAAGAAAAAAGCAAACTTTTGTGGGCTAGATCCATGCCATGATGAGTAAGGCAACTGGATATCACATGAGTTGAGTTCAAGTCCTGGAGGCCTAGTCAACATGTCAGACATGAGTATATGCATGCATGCCCAAAATCCAAAAATGAAGGAGAAATGGAGAAGAGATTGCAGCCTGACCATTCCCCAAGGGGAGTGTTTTCCCTGTTTTTTTGCTCACTATCTCTCTGACAAACACTAGAAAAAACAAAAACAAAAACACCTCTTTAGAATTTATACATTTTAAATTTATATTTTGTCACAAATTGTTCATTGTATTGACACATGACAATCACACTCTTACTGAAAGAAGTACAAAATACAGATAAAGAATGAAATGTATTTGTTTCCTTTTAAAAAGCCTTGTTGAGGTGTAAATAGTATACCAAAAACTATACATTTTTAATGTACAAATCTGGATAAACATGGAGAAAAGCATATCTTTCATACTACCGTAACCACTATCAAGAATCCATAAATATACTGCCTTTGTAAAACTTCCTACAAGGGGTTAGCAAGTGGTATGGGGATAAGGGCACTGGACTTCCACATGTGAAGAAATGGTCATGATGCAATCATTTCTTCATCTCTCCATCCATTTGGAATTTTGGGCAGGCACACACATGTGCCCAGTGTTATTTTAATCATTATTTTATTTATTATTATTTTTAAAATTCGACAGAGATAGACAGAGAGGTAGAAAAAGGGAACATTAGATACCAGCCACCGGGTTCAGAATTAGAACTTCAGTCAATCATGTGGGAGCCCAGCTCCTTACCACCATGCCACATTTGGCCCTACCTGATGTGTTTTGTAAGCTGCTGGAACAGGCCTCAAGTTGCTTACTTGACCATGTGTGATTCAACCACCTTAACCATGCCACTGTCTGGCTCCATCTGTGCCCTTTATGAATTACCAAGATCAGACTCCAATTAGTCCAAACAAGATTTTAATAGTCTGGATTTTATGAGAGTCTATGTACTAATCAACCTCTGGGGATCATCCTAGAATTTTTCTGATGAGCTACAACCACTCCTTCTTTGTTTTTAGGAAGAAAAAAAAAAGAGCTCATATCACATAAGCTCTGAGCAGGTGACCACTCAAATCAAATTCAACTCCTACAAAGAAGTAAACATAAGGGTAGGGATATTAAAATAGGATTACTTGATAGATATGGACCAACCACCTCTACATTAAATGTAGTCCTAATTTTTAAACCCTGTCTTTGATACAGCTCCATCCATTTCTGAAGAAAAGCCAACTGACAAATAGCACTGGATACAACACTCCCCTTGATAAAAACAGAAATACGATACAGTATGATATCCACAACCTTGTGAGATTTTCTAATAACACCTGGCTGTTAGATAAAGTAGATTTTGTTTACAGGAACACCCATGATCATGGCTTGATCATCAATGAAGAGGTGATAAACTGGCCTGTTAAATTCAAAAAGGTACAATGTCATTTCAATATGAAATACATATAGAAGTGGGGACAGCAGGTTGCCTAGTAGTTAGGTCGCTGGAATCTCACATGATTGACTAGTTTGTCTTGGACCTGGAGCTTGAAATTCAAGCTGGATGTGTGTGCATGTGTGCCCAAGATCCCAATAGGAGAATGAAGAAGAAGAAATTGCAGAACGGCGATTCCCTCGGGGGTGATTTTTTAAATTTTCTTCTCAATCTCTCTCTTTCTCTCTTTCATGAGTACACACACCCTAAGACAAAGATCTCTAAAAGAAAAAAAATTGAAATATATGCAGAAGCATTTGAACAGAGTTCTGAAATTAAATTGTGTGACTACTTTAACTCAGTATTATGGGGCCAGCAGGTGACATTATACTGAAGGTACTGGATTCTGACATGGTCAACCATGGTTGACTTCTGGATCCAGTGACTTGAAAACCATACCTGGCATGTGTGTGCATGTGCAAGCCCAAAATCTGTAGAGCAAAATGAAGGAGAAGTGATTGTGGTGTGGCCAACCCTGTGAGGATTAATTTCTCCCTTATATCTCTGTCCATGTCTCTCTCTGGCAAACACACACAACCTATGGCAAACCTAAAGAAAAGTGAATTAAACTTTTGTCTCAGTGAAAATATAAAATAAAATAAAATTTCCTTTTACATTCAGACTTTGTACTACTCAATTTTTCTTATGTGCATTCTAAACTATAGAAAAACTTCTGATTTTTATTAACTGATTTGTTATCATATGTTTGTTCAAGCAGTAGTCTAATTAATAATATCAATAAGGTGATATGTATCTACAATTGAACATTGTTTAATAAGAGAAATATTTTCTGAGAATATATTTATAACTGTTGTGTTTTTGTTTTAGAGAGTTCTTTGCCATAGGGCCCATGAGCTCACCGGAGAGACAGAGAGACAGAAAGTGAGGAATCATCCCCTGGGGGATTGGCCATGTCATAATCCCTTCTTTTCCATTTTGCTCTCAGGATTTTGGACACACATAAAAATGCACCTGGTGTGAGTCTCAAGCTGCCTGGTCTGAGACCCAAAATGGGGGCAGCCAAATGGAAGTCCAGTGATGTAATCAGTATGCCATCTGTTGGTCCCGAGAAATGCAATATTTAGAATTTTGTCATTGTGTGAAAATAATAGACTGCACTTACACAACCCTAGATGTTATTGCACATTGCACATGGAGTTTATATGGTCTAACATATTATTTTATGATACCACTATCATATATGCTGTTTATCATTTACGGAAATGTCTTATGTCTTTATGGAGCACATGACTCTTTCGTGTGTGTGTGTGTGTGTGTGTGTGTGTGTGTGTAAACAATCCCTCTATATGTCCTGAAATCCTTTATTATTTGTGAACAAAGTCCTTATATTTTTGTATACTGTAAAAACAAGTAGATTATTCATTAATATACCATTTACATTTTCGAAGATACCATTAACATTTCCTCTTGTCATTTTGCAGACCATTCTTATTTTTCAGAAATTATTTATTTAATTTTCGAAGATACCATTAACATTTCCTCTTGTCATTTTGCAGACCATTCTTATTTTTCAGAAATTATTTATTTAATTTTTTATCTGCCAGGGGCTGTGCTCCAGTCGGGGTGGGTGCACAGGGAGGCGACACGGATGAACAGGAATTAGACTAAGACCTCATGCCCTTTAGCATGTTCTTAGCTGACTATAGCCAGAGTAAACTCCAGACTGCAGCCCTGATGGCCAGAAGTCATGCGTATTTATTATAGAACGAGTTTTACAGCAGTAGGATGGGTAAGTGGAAATAAGTGAAAGATTTTACTTTAAAAGGTAAAGCATTCAAAGTATAGGAACAATAATTATAAAACATGACATTTGTTTTGTTTAGGTATAAACAGTCATAATTTTTAGAATGAGGAAGTCTACTTTTTGGGTGCATTCTCTTTTTAGATCTTGATTACCAGGGAGGGTCTTTGGATGAGAGGGTTTCCAGGAATTTTCAGTCCCAGACTAGCTTGATTACTTTAGTCCCAGATTGGCTTGAGAATTTTGAGCCTTGGGTCAGCTTTTGAGAACTTCAACTTCAGGCTAGGATGGCAGCAATTACAAGAGCCTAGAAATAAATCCTGTCTGGTTTAGTAAAGACAAGGTTAGTATATACTAAAGTGAAATACCTATGTTATCTCTGGGGTAGTCTACAGCTAAGAGGGTGAGTCTACATAGGAAAGGAATGTGGTCTTGTGAGTAGTTAAATGACTGACCTAAAGGTTATTGTGTACTTGAGACCCTCTACATGCTGCTTTATACAATGACTGTGGCTTGGGAAATGGCAATCTTCCCTTGTCCTGAGAGTAAGCATGGCTTATGGTCTTTGGGGTAACAGCACCTTGTGGATGAGTCCCTGAGCCTCTCTCAGCTACTGAGATCGTTTGCCCATTAGTAGCTTTAACCTAAACCTTTCTAATGCTTATCTATGTAATCCCCAGTAGGAGAAGTGAATGTAGCATTCTTTATTGACATTTTCCAGGAGGGTGGGGTGAGTCTAATGGGAGTAACTCCTGTTCACAGCTGCCACCCTACACAGTTGCTGCCTTAGTGGATCCGCATTCTTTCAGGATTATTGTAAAAGTTTTAGTAAGGCTGGGGGTGCCTTTATGGAGTACCGAGGTATGGCAATAAGGTCCATGGCAGAGAAACTGAGTGCAGGCCAGTACAGTAACACAATGAAGGTGAGGTTCAGAACCCGTAAAACTATTGACCTTGCAAACAGTTCTCCTCAGCCGAGTCCTTGCTCTAGGCACGAGGGACAGTTTTTTCATACTCAGCTTGTGTTAACTGCATGGTCCCAGCAATTATCTATTTTTCTGCAGTTGCTTTTTCTACTTCTGCTGCTCCTTCTTAAACTTGACCAGAGAATGACAGAGAGAGAGCATGAGTGTGAAAGCAAGCCACTGACTTCAGGACTTGAACCAAATGAGTCTGGTGCCTTAACCACTATAGCACCTTCTAGCCCCTTGTATACCACTCTTCATCATACTAAACATTTCAAAACATTGACTATAATCTCAGGTAATTCGATGTTGCAGAAGATTTATATAAATATCATATTTGGCACATGCACTGTATTAATGTATGAAAAGCAGTGCTCAACTGGGCTCAGAACTCACAAATGGATTAATCACACTTTCATAATGTATCTGCTGGCCCTTGAGTTTTAAGTTAACTTTTTATTGTGTACCTACATATCACATTATTAGATATTTAAAAATCCAGAACCTAAAATTTTCTACCCAACTAGATATGAGGATATAGTATAAATATTCTTGGAAACACATCTTTTCAGAGTCTTTACCACTTAAACCTGCATTGAAATTGTTTTAGATGAAATGATTGTATAAGACAACAGAAATGACACAAGGGATATTTTTAGTTATGCATGGGATAAAGTAATTAGGTACTTTGGAAATATCCAGTAAATAATACATGAAGGGGGCTGGCAGGTGGCATAGTGGCTAAACCACTGGACTCCCACATGGCTTAATGTGGTTCAAGTCCCAGAAATGATGGCTTGCTTTCTTACCTTTCTGCCTCTCTCTTGCTGTGTCTTTCTGATCAAATTTTTTAAAAAAGATAATTAAATTAATAGTTCTTTAAAAAATAATAAAACATAAAAAGAAAGCTAAGTATACTAGATCTTAATTTGAGTTCTCACAAAGGGGGGTCAGCAGATAGTGTAGTAGTTAAGGCTCTGGATTCCTACATGGGTGACTGCAATTTGAATCCTGAACCTGGAGGCTTGGAAGTTACACCAAACACAGGTGCATCCATGCCAAAATTCTTGAGAAGAGAATAAGGGTGGGATTTGGGTGCAACAACCCCCTCAGGAGTTGATTTCTCTCTTTCTCTCTTTGTCTCACTGTCTCTCTGGCAAGCTCATGCACCCTATAGCTGAAATTTGAAAAAAAAATTATAGAATCCCAAGTAGTATTAAAAGGCTTAACAGTGATGATCAATTAAAAGTGCAAAATTTCTTTAAGGTGAAGAGAAAATAGAGCATCCCATCAAGCAGCTCATAACGTACATGAAAATGACTAATGATTCTCTTTTCTGCTCAGACTCCAGAATCTGTGTGTAGCCACAACTGTGTTCCTGGATTCCAGAAAATTCCCCAAGAAGGAAGACCTGTTTGCTGCTTTATTTGTGTTTTGCGCCCAGAGTCAGATATTTCAAATCAAACAAGTATGAAATATATAACTACATTCTTAGTACCTACTATTGCTCAATAAAAATAAAACTATCACTATTAGAAATAAAACATAAGCCAGCAGGTGGCATGGTAGTGAAGACACTGTCCTGTGTGGCCAATCACGGTTCAATTCCCAATCCTGAGGCTTGAAGGTCATGCCAGGCACATGTGCATGCATGTTCAAAATCCTAAGAGGAGAAAAGAGAAGATACTGTAGCATGGCCATCCACCCAGGGGATGATTTCTTAATTTCTGTCTTGCTGTCTATCTTATGAGTATGTGTGTCCTATAGCAAAAAAATCTCTCACACACACAAATAGAAATAAAACACAGACCATCATTATTCTTAATTTGCATGCTTATATTTTTGATATTTTTATTTTATACACAATATTTTACCCTATTATGTGTAAGCTGTTTTCTGGCCATGCTCATTCTATTAGGCTCAACTCTGAAACTATTTCCAGTTGACACCCTTACAGTTTGGTGTTAGATAAGACACTATCAATCTTAGATCTCATACTTGAACCACATTAGTCATAAAATGAAAGAGGTGTCATCATCAAATTTACCTATGGGTGCCTTAATCTTTGAATCTGACTTTTATTCCTAGATGATAAGCCAAAAGCAATTACAGATAAATCATCAAGAAAATATTTTATAACTTTTACAGCCAAGCTCAAACATCTGTGGAATTAAGTACAAAGAACTGACTAATATCAGAATACCACACTTGAAATACATTGCAGAAAGATAAAGAAACACAGTTTAAAAATTAAAGACTCAACATTCTAATGCATTGGGCATCACACAAAATATACTACCAAGTAATTTTCAAGATAAAATGCAGTATTGTTAAATATGAAATATGGAAAGTTATAAGAAATTAAGCTTCTGTTTTTCCAATACATCAGAAGTAAATACAGTTTGAGGGACCAGCAGTTGGCATAATGGCTATGTTGCTGGACTCCCATGTAGTCGACTGCAGTTCGAGTCTTCGACCTGGTGGCTTAAACTCACATGGGGCATGTGTGCATGTGTGCTCAAGGTCCTGAGAGTAGAATGGAGGAGAAGGGGTTGTGGCGTGGCAAACCCCCCTGGGGGGTGATTTCTCACTTTCTATCTCTCTGTCTGTGTCTGTCTTTCTGGCAAGAGCATGCATCCTAGAGCAAAAACCTCTCAAAAAGAAAAAAAAAATGTAAACGTGGTTTAAAATTTTCCATAAGTATTATGCAATTCCAGAGATTCTAATAGTAGAATTCATTTTATTTTTATTGCTAGTAAAAGTAAATATTTATGTTCAGGTTTTAATATTAAAAAAAACATGAAAATTACTTTTTGTGAAGGAATTGGAAAACTAAATAAGTGTTCAAAACAAGAAATAAGGGAACCAGCAGTTAGCGTAATGGCTATGTCGCTGGACTCCCATGTAGTCGACCGCGGTTCACATCCCGGACCCGGTGGCTTAAAACTCACGCTGGGCATGTGTGCGTGCATGCCCAAGATCCTGAGAGGAGAATGGAGGAGAAGGGATTGCGGCATGACCATCCCCTCTGCAGGGTGATTTCTCGCTTTCTGTCTCTATGTCTCTCTCTGCCTGGTGAGCACACGCGCCCTGTAGGAAAAAAAAAAAGAAACCCCCAAAAAAAACCTCTCCAAAAAAAAAAAAAAGAAAGAAAAAAAAAAAGAAAATTACTTTTGTGAAGGAATTGGAAAACTAAATAAGTGTACAAAACAAGAAATAAAAATAGAGGTAGAAAGAAAGCCCATATCATAGTGCTTAAGGAAGTCGTATCCCACATGACCCAAATTGTTACATGAGCCCCAAACACGATGAATGAAAATACACCCGGTGTTGGTATGTTGTGTAAAATAAGAGGAAATAATGGTGCAGAGGGGATTGGAACATGACCATTTTATCGAGGTGGTGCTGTGTTGTTTTCTTTCTCTGTGTGTGTGTGTCTCTCTCTCTAGTGAGTGAATGTGTCCTCTTGAAAATTAAAGAAAAAAAAATAGGTGCCAGCAGCTGGCATGATTGTCAAGGTGCTGGACTACCAAATGACTAATTGTGGTTAGAGTCCTATATTGGTGGCTTTCTTTCTCACTTTCCCTCTCTCTCTGTCTTTATCTCTCTTGGTGAGTGCACATAGTCTATAGGAAATTTAAAAAATAATAGTAAATACAATTAAATAAATGATTTTTAAAAAATAAACAGGAAAAAATAAAGAAAGAAAGGATTTGGGACACAGAAGAACATATACACATATATTTGGGTGCCAAACATGTTCCTGAGATAGGAGCCAAGAATATCTGCTGAATCATGTGTTAGAAAGAGGCTGTGTAAGAAAAAAATGTGATTGATTATCACTCTAATACTTTTTCTAAGAATCATTCATTTTATTTATCATTATTATTATTATTATTAAAATTTGGTACAGGTCATGCACACTCACCAGAGAGAGGCCAGAAAGAGAGAAAAAGAAATAGAAACTGAGAAAGCAAGCCACCAGGTCTGAGACGCAAGCTGTATTAAATCACGTAGGAATCTAGAATCTCAACTTCCATGCCACCTGCTGGTCCCCATTCTTATGCAAAATGTGTAATGACTTTTCTGACAATACAATATTATTGCCTCAGTATTACTATAAATACATACATACATACTTTAGAAAAGATTAGTTACAGCAGCTATTTTTACATAAAAATTGTAACTGAAACACAAACATGCCTCTTAATTTATGTAATCTCCCTGACTGCTTTCCTGCTACATAATAGTTGACGTAAGTTGATTCAACAGAGAACTTATTATGCATAAAGGCAAAAATATTACCATTCTTAAAAATTAACAAACCATGCTTTAAGATGTATATAAATGAATACCTCAAAAAGAACAATCCGTATTTCTATCATATAATTACAATATCAATTTCTCAAAAAATAACTCTATAAGAGCAATACAATTCCATTAAAGATTTTATTGTTTTAAATTAAAACTGTTTTCACATTTACATAGGAGTGTTTATGATAATATTGAGAGAAAACTTAAAATGTACAATGAGAAAAGTCTGTACACAAAGTGACATATAAGATACAAGAAAAAAATCACTAGAAATCAGGAAAGAGAAAAAAGTTAGGATACTCTAGAAAAACGAAGTAAAATTATCTTTCTCTGAATACTAAGAAAACCATTCATTTCTATTGTGATGAACAAATATGAGAAGCTGTGGAAGCATAAGGTTCATTATAATGAAATATCAGAAGAGAGTAGAGAAGAGATCAGGAATGAATCCTCATCTGTGTAACATCATTGAGATCTGCAAGATGGACCATCAATATTCCCATATGCTGAGGCCCAGTTTCAAATGACTTTTGTGTTACTTGCAGCTGAAAGAATTCTCCCAGTGTCATCAATACAAGCTCTTAATTTGGTGTATCTTGGTATTACCACAGGGGCTTTATCTACACATAATAACATAACAATGACCATTTTCTTCTACATGACAATCAATTTGTGAAACTGAATTGCTCCATCTTTGATTTTCCACCAGATGCAAAGCAGTGTACCAGTGCCCAGCTCAAGAGTACTCAAACAGTGAGAGAACTCAATGTCTCCCCAAGCATGTGACATTACTGGCCTTTAAGAATGCTTTGGGGACAACCATGGCCTGCATGGCTTTGTGTTTCTTTGTCCTCACAGCTGTAATTTTGGGGATCTTTGTGAAGCACCAAGACTCTCCCATTGTCAAGGCCAACAACCAGGCTCTCAGCTTTATCCTGCTCATCTCCCTCCTGCCACGCTTCCTCTGCTCCTTGCTCTTCATTAGCCATCCTAACACAGTCACCTGTGTCCTCCAACAAGTTGCATTTGGCCTTGTGTTCACTGTGGCTGTTTCCACTGTTTTGGACGAAACCATTACTGTGATTCTGGCATTCAAGGCCATGAAGCCTGGAAGAACAATGAGGTGCTTGCTGCTTTTAGGGGCTTCTAATTCTGTCACTCCCATTTGCTCCCTGATCCAAATGGTTATCTGTGGAATCGGGCTGGGAATCTCTCCCCCTTTTGTTGAAATAGACTCACATTCTGAGCCCAGAATCCTCATCATCATGTGCAACAAGGGCTCAGTCACTGTCTTCTACTGTGTCCTGGACTACCTGGGCTTCTTGGCTCTGGGGAGCTTCACTGTGGCTTTCCTGGCCAGGAAACTGCCTGACACATTCAATGAAGCCAAGTTCCTCACATTCAGCATGCTGGTGTTCTACAGTGTCTGTGTCACATTTGTACCCATCTATCACAGCACCAAGGAGAAATTCACAGTGGTTGTGGAAGTCTTCTCCATTTTGGCCTCCAGTGCAGGGCTCCTAGGCTACATCTTTGCCCCCAAGTGCTACATTATTCTGTTAAGACCTGATATGAACTCTTGGAAAGCTTTAAAAAACAGAAGGGGTTCAAATAAAGCCTAAGTTTCTATATCATAATCCTCTATCACAATTTTAGGGTTTTGAGCCAAAAGTGTACCATTTTTATATTCTTATAGAATAAACTGACTGAAAATGACTGACCTCTTAAATTCATTTTTTGAAACAATCATTGTATACATCTAATCTTTAGAAGTTATTAAACCTTCAATTATGAATTATATCTTAGATTAATGGCTATTTTTTACATTGTGAGTATTGATTAATAGCTAAATTTGATTAGTTATTTAATATTTATTTTGTTCTCAAAGAAAGCTTTTTACTTTTGTATAGTTAGGAATAGTGTCTATGTTTTCATATCTGGTTTATTGTTTGTATCTTTCTCTTTTTTAGGAAGGTCTATCTATCTAAAGTCTAGTCAGTTTCTTGATGTTAAAAAAACTAGCTAGTAGTTACATTGTTTCTTTACATGATTTCTATGTCTTTTATTTATATCCATTCTGATTTAATATTTTTGTTTCTACTTGCATTTAGTTTACTTCGCTCTTGTTTTTGGAATTTCTTTTTGTGTCAAATAGTGTTGATGTAATGTCTTTCATCTTTTTTCCATTAAAGACAA